CCCTGGATGGGCCGCCTTCTACCTCCTCGATTCAGGTACCGCTACGGAGCTTACTTCTGTGTCAGTTGTTCAGCAGTGCGTAATGCCCCAAATATCCGAAAGCTTTTCTGAGTGTGCATCTGTGTGCAGCCTGCTGACAGACCCTGAGACGCTGCTCCAAGCGCATGGAAGACAGACTGGCCCTGAAGGCACGCTGCTGTCTACATGTGTGCCAAGCCTAACACGTACTGCCGCCTACCCAGAAGGGGGCATGGACAAACAGCGATTTGTCCCTAGAGCTGGTAAGGTTGAGCTGTCCTGTATATGTTCAGACTGCTGTCCAGGGAGCTCCTGCCCCAAATTGGCTGTAGCAGAGCAGGTTTGTGAATGGGCAGAGCATTTATTCTGCATCCACGAGGCTTTTTTGCAGCTGCCTTCTTCCACTTCTTTTTTTGCTCCCTTCCCAAGGCATTCATAATATCTGCACTGGAAAAGCTGTGAGAGTCAGAAATTTGCTGTGTAAGAAGAAGCACAGCTGTTCATTCGGACCCCCTTGATCCGAGGATCAGCGATCTGCTTTCGTTTGCTTCATTTAGTCAGATTGTTGAAGAAATGGTTGAGGAGCAGCAGCTTTAATCTGTGGTGTTATTAGCTCATATTTGAATCTTCTGTTGTCTGTGTTTTGTCAAGGGTGAAAGAATTAAATCAGATTTGGTATGTTTTATTTACTGGAAAAAATTTCTCTTAAATTAAAAACCTTGGTCTTTATGCTTAGGTCTTCATGCTTTTATTCCCACAGCAGCAGGTACAAATCAAAACGAAAAGATAACGTGACACATATGTTCTCCTCAGATTGCCAGGGGCAGAAGTTGAGTTTGGAGTTTGGAAGTTCAGCTGCAGTTCAATAACCTACTCTGTCACCTTGACCCCGCTCTGTAGTTTTTATGCAATCTTTCTACATGTGCATGTTCCTTTCTCAAAGGGGCATCAGTTCAACATGCGCTGCCTTGTGGTATCAATCCCCTGTAAGAGTATTTTGTACTGTGTGCTTGTTCAGATAAATCCCAAATAAGAGAAATTGGAGAATATTAATGGCAAAAGTGGAGAGCAGCGTGGTGTTGTGAACAGCTGATGTTTTTTGCAAGGTTGGTTTTACCTTGTGGGATGGGGGGTGGGATCTCAAGGTTGCTCGGTGAGGTGAGGCTGCAATACAGGCGGTTGGCTCTCATCTGCGGTCCATAGGTGATATCCCACCTCGCAATGATCCAGGTTACTGCTTAGTTTCATGCTTTACCTATAGTTGATTTTCAGGTAGAAACCACCATGGAGCTGGCTTTCAGCAGTAGTGGAGCAGCAGGTGCACCTGAGCAGTTAAGGTGCCCATGATGTAAGGGATGGGTATATAAGAGGATGGGCATAGGCAGCTGGGGAACTGCTGTAGCCATCCCCAGATGAGCTGACCCCTCTCTCAAATTCAAGCCCTCACTCAGTCTTTAAGATGTCAACTTTAATGTGAAACACTAGAGGGTAGTATATTACTGCCAATACTTTATTTTAGAACATATCCGTAGTCATGATTTTTTAATCCCTTGAATTTATTATACAATTCAATATTTTAAAACGAGTGTAGAACTAAAGAAAAAAAGAGTGCTTTGTTTCTGTGACTGTGAGCATGGTGTGCAATGATTATTTTTGGTTTAGGTAGAAAAAGGATTGGGTTGAATGTAGATCTGACTTTTATCTTTCTTCAGAAGTGTCATTAGGAACACAATACTTAGAATTATTCACTCACACTTACGTGTACACAATGTAAATACACAGTGGTATATAAGAAGAGGCAGTTTTACCAAGAGATACTCGGTTTTGATGTTTAACCAGGCAAATATTTATAAGTTCATGACATTGCTCATACGCTCGTTACAATCGGAGTGGGGTTTTAGTATTTGAATAAGGTTTTTTTTTCCCCCCCTCTCTTTTCTTTCAGGCACCACCTTCCATGGTCAATAATGAACAACGCCAGCATGCCGAGCACATATTCTTATCATTTAGAAAATCAAAATCACCATTTGCTGTTTGCAAACACATTTTGGGTAAGTTTTAATAAATTAAGTTAAGCATGTACCTGTCTTTATAACTGGAACTGTGCTGTTCTTCTGCAGCTGGGAATACGAACATTAGTTTTGATACTTTTTGATGGAGCTACTTTTTGATGGAGCATGAAGCCTATTGCTGCCCTTCAGTTTTGTTTCTGGCAGCTTTAAAGTCTGCAACGTGCAGCTTCGTGTAGCTAAGTTCCTAAACTGATTTAATAGATTCAGGTTTCCTCTGCTACATGATTATTGTAATAACGTCTAATCTGTGGAGCTTGTAGAACTGCCTGTAGTGCAATTGCTTGGCTTGATGCTTCCCATTGAATCAACCAACGATGCAATTTTATATACTTTTGCCAGAATTTGCACTGGTGCTGAACTTTTCTATGGTGAGAATTTATTTCAGGTTAAATGTCTTAGTAAGTTGCTGTTAACAGCCCAACTGTTGTGTTTAAAAAAAAAAAAAAAAAAGTAGTTAGAAAAGTTTCTGTCCACCTGGTAGAAGCAATAGAGTATTGATTCAAAGTTTTGTGGTGTTATACCTGTAGAGAAAGGAAAGATGGTAGGTATCACCTTTTATCAGAAATTTCTTGGGTTTTAATGGAAATGCTGTAAATGTGGTTGTGTTACAAGTCTTTAAAAACAAATCTGTTTTTACAGGCGCTATAGAGACTTATTAGAGTTTGGCAGCTAAGTAATCTGAAAATTGCAGGAGCAGTAAGCATATAAGATTCCTGCTCAGCACTGCTGTACTGACCAGATGTGAGTGTTGGGGGGAGGCAAGGGGGAAGTTCCAGTGAAAGCCGACTCCAAAATCTGGTGAGGAAAACCTGGAAATTTGTGGAAAAGAAGACACACCAAAAACAGGAAAAGCAACTTTTCTTTCAAAGAATTTGCCAGAATGAAGAGAGAAATATTAGAATTTTGTTTAAAATATAATTATTTTCACACTTAATTCATTACACAGTAATTTTTTTTAACAGTTATTTCTAGATTTACTGGATTAGAGATGTACAATTCATTAATATTATGACGTCAATATTGCAGGCCTGCTACTGTGTTGTTAAACTATACTGTGAGATATAGAGCAGGCTGTGGTTCCTTTCCTACACCCACTCCTCAACCAAAATTTTTTCTACAAATGAGTTTTTTCTAGTTAGTATATTATATTAGTACTTCATCTGGTCCTGAAGACTGTAACCACACTTTTTGCTTTATGGGTCTGCAAAATTGATGCTTTTTATTTTCACATTGATTTTTAGAGAATTTTAAGGGGGCAAAAAACCACACTTTGCAGAACATTTTGGTCTCTCATAAGTGATGTATTTGTCACTACTCAGAAGTAAACAATGGAAATTTATTAAATAAATACCTAGTAGTACTATCTGTGCTAAGGGATACATCACTGCGTCTTGTTTTCAAAGAAGGGAATACAGTTTGGCATTAATAATGAAATATCACTGCAGACATTTTTCATTTTTTTTTCTTCTGCAGTGTGGCTGGTTGTAAGGAGTGTGATCCTGTTTTTAACACCTTTTGGATGTCTAGAAATACTACATCCTTAAACTGCTCATGTCCTATCGCCATTGAGAAACCAGCATGTTTCCACATGGGGCAGGTTTTTACTGGCAGTGGCTTCTCCAGTAGGCAGTTGTGATGCTAAGACCTGGAAATGAGAGGCTTTTCCCAAAACTTTGTGCTTCATGAGTAAGTCTGGACAGAAAGAACAGCTGGTTAACACTTGGGAGGTGAGAAGGGAGAGGCAGGGATTATGAAATCAGGGACCAGGAAGGGAAACAAGCTGTTTACGATGAATAAAAGAGTTAAAGTGTACTGAAGGGGTTTGTGAGTAAGGATGGGTAGGAACCAGAGGATCAGAGCATGTGGGCTTAAAAAGAAACAGGAAAAAAAATGGTCAAGACAGGAATTGGAATGGAGGTAGAGATAACAAGGATGTTGACAGCGTTCATGGAAAGAAGAGTGTACGAGCGATACAGGGAGAGCAATGGAGATGATGAGCGTGAGGAAAAGGGGAACAGCCACTCCAGAAACCTGGAGTTGAACCCAGGAAGCATGAGGCTCTACGTTCTTCTGCTGTAAGCTTATAGCTCTTAAATGTACTGGCAAAACTTGTCCTGTCTTTCTTTAGTAACTTCATGTAGAGGATAATGGTGCTCTGAGTAGTTATAAGCTTACACCGAGTGCTGGATGTCTGTGCTGTTAATGATTGCAGTTGTGCATCTGCAGTACTTAACGCAAAGGAGAAATTCCATCCTCTTTTTTTTCGATAGCATTCTCTTTTTGTCTGAGCTTTGTACAGTTTGAAAAGCCAAAGACCCAGAAGGTAGAAAATGCCAGAATTAAAATACCCATGCAGGAATAATCTGGCTCATTTTTACATGTTAGACATACGCATTAATCTTTTAATTAAGTGGTTACTTAGTTTTCCAAATTAAGCTAAGTAGATTTACAGAGGGTTTATTTTGATTTAAACATGTTTACCTGTGTAGGATTTAGATTTGGAGCCTGATTAAATCACCTAAAATCATTTTAGCAAATTGGCTCCTATCTTGAATATAGAACTTGCATATAAAGGAAATATATATTATGAACTTGTGTGTGTATAGCTAGAGGAAGAAAGTTTGTTTTGTAGTTATTTAAAGCCCGTCATCCCCTAACTGAGGCTTTGTTGAATAAATCCAGTTTTCCTAGTCCTGGCAGGTCGTCCCCCATAGTTCAAACTCCGCTTCTTGTTCATTAATTTTATTTCACCATTTCATATTTTATGCTTTTGCCACCCTGTGGCTAAACCTTTTCTGAATGGTCTTTCGATGTTTCCTACAGAGTTCAGAATGTTTTGAAACTGGCTACTGTACTACCTGCTATTTCTAAGTTAAAATTTTTAAAAGCAAAAGAACAAAAAACAAAAAAAAATTCTCTGTAGCTTTCTATCATCATATAAATTAAATTCAAATTCTGGGGTTTTTCCGTAAATTGAATTTTGTAGTCACACAAACTGTCACCTTCTTCTATAACATCTTTTTCTAGTTTCTTTAGTGCATCTATATTCAAAGCAATCAGATATTCGGGTAATAAGGGCTAGTGATTCCTACACTTTGTTAGAAAGTTGTATTTTGATTACCTCGAGATAAATACAGAAGCTTGAATATAATGTAGAAAACCTTAAATACACAAGTCTGTAAAATTTTTGTTGTAATAATTACACACAAATATTTATGTGTAAGTGGACTTGCTTCTCATTACCATCCATAAAATACATGTAATTTTGTGTACTGTTGGTTCCAAAGGCAAGCACACGAATGATAGAAGAATCTTCAGTTCTGGCATATCTTAATGTATTGTGATTAAATCTGTCATTTTTATTTTATTTTGTTCCACAGTGGTGTTAGCATTCTTATTCTTGATATTTTGGCCAGTCTTCTCATGCGGCCAGCTTTTCTTCCCCTGAGTCTCTGACACAAATAATATGGGACAATTTGATAACTGGGTTATTGGTTTCCCCTCCCTTTTGAGGTGTAAATTCTTTGTCTGATTTCATAGCAACAAAATTCCATTTAATAATAAATTAACTAATAGTAAATTCCATTAATTTTTTTTTTGTTAGAAATACGTACAAGCTAAATACATGTATGTCTTCTGATACTCAAATTGCCTTTTTTTTCCCCCACAGAAACTAGTAAAGTGGACTATGTCCTTTTTCAAGCTGCTACTGCGATAATGGAAGCAGTTGTAAGAGAATGGATTCTCTTGGAAAAAACTAGCATCGAGTCACTGCGAACATTCCTTCTAACCTATGTCTTACAAAGGCCTAAGTAAGTGTAGAAAAAACACCTCTGAATATGTAGGATTATGCATAAAGTCTCAGTTATCCTTTTGTTTCCAAGGGTAGCAGTGGAAGACCATTTCAACAATAATTTGTCTTCCATTCTTAACACTTAGTTGACTTCTGTAGAGTTGTCAGCTTTCCCTTATGAATTTACACAAAATGTTTGAAAAATAAATGAGTTTAAAATTTTATTGAACACTGATGTTCAAAATTATTTGCAAACAAATTTTTGCAATGTTATTTACAGCCTTCAAAAGTACGTTCGGGAGCAGATTCTATTAGCAGTAGCGGTGATAGTGAAACGGGGATCATTAGACAAATCAATCGACTGCAAAAGCATTTTTCATGAAGTCAGCCAGTTGATCAGCAGTGGTAACCCCACTGTGGTAAGTATTTTATTTTCTTCAAAATTTAAGCAATCTGTATCAGCAGCATAAGCTATATACTTAGTGACTATAAAATCTTGTATACTTCTCTTATCTAAAAATAAAAATTAGTAATTAAGTTGATAGCTATTCAAGCAGTCATTTACCAAGTCGAAGATTTTTGAATAAGAATGTTTTGGGACTAGTAGTAGTACGTGTGATTCTTTGGTACACAGTTACATGATATTTCTTAGGGAATAGATTTCTCTTAATAGGCGCTGTAACTGTCACTAATGTGATGGGTGGTTTTTTTCCTGTTTCTCTGGGTTTCTTTAATAAAACAGCATGATCTAAAATGGATTTTCCATTAGCTGGCAGGTTCTCTACACACTTTGCTCCCCTTCCATCTGTGCAGTGCTGCACCCTCCTGTGGCTCAGCTGTCGGAATAGGCTACCCAGCAAGAGGCATAGGCCTCTGCTGTTCTCTGGGAGACGGGTAGGTGGAGAGAAAGGGGTGTGAGGAAGTAAAATGTGGAATGGAAATACAAAACTTACTCTAGATTTAATGTCATACTACTAGGGGTAAGTGTTACCTTCCATACTGAGCTCAAAGTGGAAACAAGGTGTCCAATATCTACTATGCATTTAGCGAAATTCCGTTTGCTATGCCAGGAGATAAGTTTAGAATAGTCATAATAGAGGCATGTAACTAGAGATTAAAGAGAGGTGATTTTTCTCCTACCAAATGCAAATTGAATATTATGTAGATTCCATGCTGAAACTTTTAACCGAAGCTTTTCTCAAACAAAACCTTGAGGGAACGGACTCCTACCATTGCTGAGCATTTAGAGCAGCAGTTGTACTAGATGTGAGCGGCAAATGTTTAATTCTGAAAATTTGATCAAAATGTACTAGAAGTAATGCCGCTCATGTCATGGTCCTAAAAATAGTGTGTCACCTCTGAGCACAAGTGATATCCCCCCAGGGTACGGACATTTCGGTTACACTTCTAAACCTTAATTTCACTGTTATTTAGCTTAAGGAGAACATGTCAGCCTTTTTGGTTGTGCAGAATTTGGATAGAAATGGGTATTTGTTTAGGAGAACAATGTTAAGTTCATGCTTTTTTCCAGGGAACATAGTCTTGTTATTAAAATGGAGTTACAACTGAGATTTTCAAGTTTTTTGCATGCTGGTGTATATGCTTATGTAGTTTATATGATCTTTCCATAAAGATACAAAAGTGGAGTAAATAGAAACCTGGATGTTGACAGAGAAGTCCGCTCTCAACCAATTCTTGCACAGTCCAACTTCTGCGGTTGTATTCTGTGCATGCACTAATATACAGACACGTTACATTGAACACAGCATGCAGGAAGCTAAGACTGCCAGCTGTAAGTATTTCATCCTGGGCTTGCTGCAGAACAGAGCGCATCGCAGAGGAGCTCTGGCTGGGGGAAGGGACAATATTTCACTGTCCTCTTCTCCAAGTTTCACTCGCTACCACCGTACAGAGACCAAGTTTGGCTCAGCTTCTCATTTCCCTTTATCTACCCCCTTCACAAGTATTACTTTCTCCATAGTTTTTCCGAAGTATTTGTGCTGAGGTTTTAAGAAGGGTATTTAAAGCGTCTTTAGTATATAAAGATGTTTTCTATTCCGGTATGCTAATACAATGTACTAGTAAAAAATGACACATGATGCTGCTGGAACATCTTTTCTGTAAGGTGCAGTATATCTTTGTTAGTCTTTGGCAGGCTGGTAATAAACCTATGCTCCCATGTATGTACGTATGAGGTTTTCTAATATAAAATAATAATGAGTTCTCATTCATAAAAATGTTCTTGTAATCTTCTGAGACTTTGCTGCAAGAGAAACTCTGGTACTGGCACAGATTCATGTGACCCAGGACTTGGCATAGACAATAATGAACAGTAAAAAAATTGTGTGTTAGCACAGTGCCTGCCACAACTGAGCTCTGAGTGGGTTCAGGGCACGCCTCTTGTATAAATATATAATAACTTTGAGAGGTTGTATGAAATAATTCATGCAATGAATTATCTACTTATCTTTTCAAATATGGGTGGGTGTTTTTACTAGTGTCTCTGTAGTCTTCAGCCATGCCCATCAGGCCGCGTGGAACCGCAGTGGTGCAGCTGCCTTGCTGCCGTGTGGAGTCTCAGCGAAGGGTGCTTCAGGGTACGATATGAAGCTAAGGGAGTGATACTGCTTTCAAGATCTAAGTTGTGCTGTCAGGACAGTGCCATGCAGTGTCACAAGTGTTTCTGCACTTCACTGGAGAGGTGTTTATATTAGTTGTTTATAAAAACACACCTCCACCCAAGTCAGGGAGGAGGCTAGGATATGGGTGTTGGGAGAGATCAGCAGGTGTTTTCCAGCCCTCTGTACCTCCCTGACTCCTTCCACTTTTTTAACACGTCTTTCCTGTGATGTGATGTGCACTCTTGCCTCCAGCCTTGTATGCTCAAGTTTCAGGAGTCTGTCACACCTTTGTGACTCCCAATTCTCTATTGAGTCTCTTGGTCCCTTTCTGTATCCTTCCCAGACTTCTGCTCCATGTTTCCTCTGACCTACTGCGCCACCCGTTTGTGTCTTCCTACCTGAGGTTCACTCCAGCAGCTGAGAAATAACATATGGAGTCAGCAGCAAGTCACTTCATATTTAAATATGTTTAAAGCTCTCAAACGTGGCTCTTAGCTGTTGATAATGGCTTTCTACAGCAGTTTGTAATTGAAAGTCCTTTTTAAAAAAGCAAAGTGGTCTCTTGCCTGCTTCCCATTTGCTTTTTCCTCTCTGCTGTCTCTGAAGCTTCCTGGCCGTTCTTTATCTTACAAGAATAAAGTAGGTCCTTAATCTTTTCTATTCCCTGCAACCCTGCACCCAGTTCCTGTCAGACATCTGTACTAGTTTTGGGTGTGTTACACTCAAGCTCCGTAAAATCTCTGGGACTTTTCAGTAACATGTTGTCAGGGTCAAGTCCTGAAGGTTGGTGTAATGAGGGGAGCAGCGAATGTAGATGGTACTAAGTCTTTTGCATGTGTTCTTTTGCAGGACTTGATATGTTAATATCTTAACTTCTTGAGTATCAGTTAAAAATATCTTTAGAAATGGATGTATTTTGAGGATGGAACTTCAAGTTATGTTGAGTAATGCTGTGGCAAACTGACACAGAAGCAAGACTGATGGATGAACTGTTGAGAATGAAAAAATGGAAAGGAGATTGGAAGGAAGAGAAGGAGAGGAATAGTGATGAGAGGAAGAAAGTGGGCAGGAGATGAAAAAGATGGTTTTAGTATTGAGTAATCTCTTAATAGTGGAACACAGTGTACATGTTAAGGAAATAACAGGGCACTAAGGAGACGTAATACTACAGGGATGGAAAGGATGCATGGTTAGAGCCAGGGTTTGAACCTGGAGTGTTGGCTCCTGCTGCCACTTCTCTGCCATATGGACCTTTATGGACCTCGTGGAAGAAACCTCAGCCTGAGAAGGGAAAGCAAACTATAGAGGGTCTGGCTGCCTATTAATTTATAAATGAGTTTAGGTAGTAATCCTCTGGGAGGACAAGGATTAGCTTTGGAGTTCCTGGTTTTGTTTTTCCTGGCTCCTCCTGTAATATTGATATAAGCTCCTCCTGCTCGTGAAGGAGAGTCTGTAATCTCCCTCCAATTTCAGGATCTCTTTTCAAAATCTTCGTTTCTGCTTTTGGCAGTAGACGCAGTATCATGGGCCAATCTTAAAATGCTAAATACATGTTTTCTATCACTGATTTCAAGATTTTGGAGAGTTGTGTGGGCCAAGTTCTTCTCAACTATAAATGCTTTCAGTTTCTTGGCCTTTTCTTTTTGTGTTAGAATATTCTGCTTTTGCATAGCTGAAGGATTTTGTTTGTCCTTCATCCCTGCCAGAAGAACAGGAGTCCTGGCAGCTAAGGTGACTGATTCCAGGAGGAGGAACTGGTCTGCATGTGAACACAAAAAACTGGACTAGGATATGGGTCATACCTTGGTTTCTCCCAGAATACGGGTAGGCAGATGCAGAGGGGTCCAACAGCTGTAGACCTGACACAGGACTGGGAAGCAACAGAAGCTGTGTTTTTTAAGATCTACAATGCATACAGTAGAATATATTCTAATACAAAGCTCCATACCTGAAGCCTAAATTTTTCTGTATATGTAAGAAGACTTGTCAAGACTTACTGGAAGAGCTCTGGGATCCTAACAATTCCTTCTCTCTTAAAATCTGTAAAGCTGTTGGTCTGTTTCCCAATGTTCATGGTTGGGCTAGAGAGGAGATTCAGATGCTTCAGGTTACCTGAAACTGCTGAGGAATGTGTGTGGATGGATCTCACGTGAACAGTGGGAAATATTAATAGGCAGAACTCTAGGCATTCATCCTCATTGGTAATAATAATGGCTGCATAGATAACTAGTTACATTTATTTAGCATTTGTGTTCTTATTTCTATTCTTTAAGAGGAATTTTCCTTCTGGATCCCTGTCTAGCTGTTGTTGTCTCATGTGGTAGGGTAGGAGTTGGAGAGGCTCTCATTACTGTAACATTTTGACAAAAACGTATATATTATTTTCCCCGCTCTATCCTCAGCTGTATTTTCTGGTCTAATAAAATTATTACCTTGTCCTATGAACCTTACTGCCCTTGAGACATGTTGAGTATAAAAACCAGATGGTAAACCAGGATATTTAAGCTGTTTCCTTCATGCTGACAAGTGCTCTATAAAGGCCTAAGTTAGTGTGTTAAAGATTGGTTTGGGAATTTTAGGGATCCAGAAACTACTCCAAATATGAGGGTAAAACTTGGTAGTAGAAATGTAAAAGAACTTTAATACATAAGTTTTTTTTTCAGTAGTTGTATTAACCAGGGTGCCTTTTAAAGTTTTCTGATTTTTGTTTTGAAAGAGACCCTACTTTACTGGAGATGCAGTACAGCAAGACTCCAGCTTAGTTGCATAATAACTTTAATATTAGAAATTGATAGCTC